AATAATAATAATAATAATAATAATAATAATAACAATAACAATAATCACTTTATTTAAGTGTCGATGTATTTAGCACTAATGTGCTGATTGGAGACACTGTAAATAAATAAACAAATATTTCAAATATAACATAAACTATTAAGATTCCCAACTGGTGGAAGGCTGACCAGTTGGCTGTTTACACAACGCGGTCGATGAGTTGAACTCGGGGCTACCGAGAACAAATCCAGATAGCGGTAGCGCGGAGGATTTGAACCATGGACCTCCAGATTTCAAATCCAGTGCCCTAAACCACTCGGCCACGCCCTAAACCACTCGGCCACGCCGCTTCCCATCAAACAGTAATCTCAATTAAATTATTCACACCTTGAAGGACAGCGTTGTATTGATATCTCTCAGCACATTAGTTAGATTGTTATCTTGTTGAAAAGACTGCCCCACAGCTGCTGTGCAGTTCAACTGAAAATATATATGCAGGCACGGTTAAAGGTAAAGTCTGCATACGAGCCAAGTAGCCCATCAGACCGGTGCTTATCCCGGTTTCTGAAGCATGAAGCTCCCTGGATGGGATGCTAGTCCATTGCAGGATTACCCCCAGCATTAAATTCGCAGGTACCCATTTATACACCTGGGTGGAGAGAGGTAAAGTGAGAGTAAAGTGTCTTGCCCAAGAACACAACAAATGCCCCCGCCAGACTAACTCGATTCGGAGACGAGCACACTAACTATGAGGCCACCGCCCCTCCCATGGCTTGGTTACTGACCTGACAACAACAACAACAACAAACACTTTCACAAATACAGTGCAAGCGTCTTACTACATTTGGACTAACAGAAGCGAAGCAGTTATATGTATAACGCCTTACAGAAAAAAAAAAGAACACGCCTCGCGTAGTCAATTCTTTTAACTAAATAAATATTTTGCTCAGAGACCATTTGCATCTTGAGGTACAGGGTTGTATTGAATTATACGGCGCGTAGATAAACAAAACAGTATTGCCATACAATGCCAGGCTAAATATATGATGGCAATATTCTGTACGTACCCATAGAGGGTTGAAGGACCCTATTCAGCCACAGCTTTGTTTTTTCTTTTTTTTACATGCGAGAGTTTGGCTATTTATTTTTCATTCGAAGCATGTCGAAACGAAGGAAATCACTGTGAGACAACTAAATGTAATTAAACATACTTTAAGGAACACAACTTGCAGTAAAACAATAAGATTTTGCTTCACCATGTAATATCAATAATTTCGATGGCATCGAAAATGGCGGAGGCTGACTAGGGTCCTTAAAACAGTTGTTAGACTTTCGTCTTCTTCTTCTTCTTTCTTTTTTTTAGGGGGAGGGGGGCGGGGGAGGGAGAGAGGTTAGTTCACTTACCATTTTCTTCAAATTGTCGTTTTTTGTCCCCAGTGTTTTAAGGGACTTTTCAACCTCTTCAAGTTGACTTGATTTTACCCTCTGAAACATAAAGAAACCAATCCCGCTGTTACTCATCAAGACCAACATAATGTTCATGAGTGTGGAAATATTGCAAGCGGCTGAATACCAAAGGCTACTGTTTATGTATGATCTGATAGCCAATAATCATTTCAATCTCGAAATCCTTTCGACTTGGTCTTGATTGATTGGGAGGCTTTCTTTCTGTGTTGCTGTTTTTTTTTTTTTGTTTTGTTTTTTTTGGCCTGCCTGTCTGTCTTACGGTCTGTCTATACGTTTGTTTGTTCGTCTCTCTGTCTCTGTTTGTTGTAATTGCTTGCTTTGTTGATGGTTTGGTGGGATTGTTGGTTCGCAAGTTAATTAATTTGGTTGGTTGGTTGGTTGTTAATTGGTTCAGGTTCGTCTCACTGTTTGCTTACTGATTTACTTCGTTGCTTTTTCTTGCCTGATTGGTGACTTCATTTGATAGACAAGTTCTTACCAGTTCTTCCTTAAGATTTTTCACGCTGTCTTCCATGGATGTTATCCTCGCTAACATCGCGCTGTTTTCTGTTCGGGAGGTCTGCGCTGCAGTAGACGCTTTGAAAATCAATACATAAAGATTAATTCATAGAAAGTGGGACGTACGGATTTTTATTCACGAGTTGTCCCAAGTTTTGTGACAAGTGAACAAAAATGTGTGCAAATCACTTTCTATGCTGTAATTTGTTTAGTGTATATATAACGAGAATTAAACATATCCTTTAAATCAGTTTTAGTTTTCCCGATACCATCAGCTTACATGCGGAACAGCAAAAAATTCAAGACTGATCTAAATGACCGAGCGTAATAAAAAAAAACAAACAAACAAACAAACCCCCTTTCCAGTCCAGCAACAGGCGGACAAAGAGCCTACTCAAGCCTGAATATAATGCCGGAGAATTCGTAAATACAAAGTGTGAAATCTTTTCGCTTGTCCCTAATCATTGTCAGATTCAGTCATGTAACGGCGGCGCTTCGCGCTGTGCAAAGACAAATTCGGACTCTGTTGACTTACACTGTTTATAGCGGAGCTCTGGCGGCCCGAAAGGCCACCAAGCGGAGCACCATACCTATATAGGAAACTAAAGGAAACTCATGAATTGATTTTTTCATGGTTGTCATGGGTAGCGGTATTGTTCATGGGCGCGTACGCACGACGACGACGACGGCGGGGTCGCTAAGATGGCTACCATGCTCCAGCTAATAGGTTGATAGAGACATGCAGCCTTGGTTTATCGCATACTTCTTAGATATTGGACATCCATGTTATGGTTAATTCACACCTGTCAAAACAAGGTATCCGCTGACCAGTATCACATAACCATATCGCGGGCTCAAATTAAAAGCTCATCGAGATCACCTTTATCTATCTATCTATCTATCTATCTATCTATCTATCTTTCTATCTATCTATCTATCTATCTATCTATCCATAGATACACGACAACTTTCTGTGGCAGGATCCAAGTTCAGCATTGCTCATTCATATCATTCAGAGCGGAAGAAAGCACTAAGAAAGTACATCGTTAGTACAGTTATGTTCAGAGGCTTTTTGATTTTCATTTTCATTTTTGCTCAGTAAATCCTTTTGGTCTGTCATATAAAGATCGGTAACGGTAATCGTACGTAATTTCTTAGCAGACCCAGAATTTCAATAAAAACATGAAAACTACACGGCTCCTTCTAAGAACTTTTGCCACCCATACCGTTATAAATATCATACCCAAAACTTTCACCGTTTTTTAGTCCCAAAGGAAGTACTTTTCCATAAGAAAAACCGTTCAGGGACGACTACAAAAAATTCAGAAAGAGGGGGTCACAGAAATTGCGGCAAACCGCAAAGCACACCCACGCACTTCCCGAACCACTTCCCCTTGCCCAAACTTAAGGAAAATTACCGCTCTAAAGACAGTTGGTCAATTTGTTTGCTATCGGCAAGTTGCGTGACCAACACGGCCGATTTGTTTGAAGTTTTCCAGAAGAACAGTTTTGTCACACCATTCTTCAACAGCCAGTCACTCAAGCAAATCACGAAATGAATCGAAAATGGAACGGTTCCCCTAATGCCCGGGGCTGTATTACCTTAATGGGCTATATGGGTATATGCGGCCCCAAAGGGTAGGTTTTTCAGCCGTTTTGGTCATAAATAGGTCATCGATTTTAGCTCATTTTAGCCATTTTGGTCATAAATAGGGTATGGTTTTTGCACTCTAGCCTAGATATGGGTATCTTTTTAAGAAGAAGCCACTTTTTCGTCATTATTGAATTGGAAATAATCAAAAGTCCTTCGCAAATCATGCTTACGGTAATTTAACATTGGCCTGAACTAGGGAACTAATTGTAACGCAGGTCTGAAACCGGGGGGGTGCTTTGGGAATTTCTGGGTGGGGATGTGCCGCTGGGACTCTGGAACCCTTAACCTATACCAGAGCTAGATCAGCTGAATTTTGCTACCCTATACTAGAGTGAACTCCCCAAGTCCCCCCATCTATCGACACTGCTGAGGCTGATTTGAGTAAATTTAAACTTGCCGATTTGATTTTTTTATATTTTTGAGTGGAAATTCCTGGTTTCCTTAGTCTAAATAAAATCTTCAACCAACTTGTCAGTTTTGTGGAAAATGATACCCTTTTCTAGACCCGAACGCTCTGATTTATATACCCTATCCTAGAGTTAACTGCTTGAAAACCATACCCTTCACAGCGGCACATACCTATATAGCC